GCACAGAAACAGTACTATATAACATTTTAGACACATTCTAGACAGTTTATCAGCTAAAAAAAGTTAATTTTGGGGTAAGTTACTCTTTAAATTTAGCACACGTCATGTACCAAATGTTTGTCTAAAGTTCAAGATTAMATGTTTTTAAATCAAAATGGATCACAACATTACTACACAAACCAGATGTAGCATAATGTTTTGAGTATTTGAACACAAGTAGGCCAAATGCATCAATTCAGCTGGTGAATGAAAGAACCACTCATCAGTACTGTATAATCTGAATTGATTGTAGCTTAAAACCCTATTTATGCTTCTTTATTCAAAAGAATATCCCCCCTTTTTTAAATTTTTTTTTGCTTATGCACCTCATGCACTGGCCTGGATAGAGGCCCACTGACATCAAGAGTGTACAGAGCCCAGAATTTGGAGCTACACCCCTGCTCTGTTGTAATTTCCTSTCATCTGATGTAGAAATGCTGAATTTCAACTTACTGTTGGTCAAATGACTATAAGGGGCTGTAGTGCAGGCTTGACTTTTTCTTTGAGTTATATTAAGATTAAACATGAAACTACAAGACATTTAGATTAGATTTAAGCACACTACAAGATCAGTTTATAAAATGTTCCATGAGCCTTTGCTGCCGGAGCGTACGTCAAACTTTCTCCAAGTGCACGGGCAAAAAAAAAAAAAAAAACAGGCATGGACTGCTGCACTGGCTGCTAGCCTAATTCTAAAAAAGAAAAGGACTTTACTTTAAAAGTATTTGCATTTCATGAATTATATTATCTCATTTGGCCGCAGCCCTCTGAGAGTTTATTTTTTGCCCTCTCGGGGGAAAAGTTTGGGCTCTCTTGCTCTGTGTCCCTGTGAGGGACATGTGACTTGTCCAAAGTGTCCCCTGATTCCTGCGCTATGACCACTGGAAATAGACGACAATGAAAGAAACAATAAAATTAAATAATTAGYAGCTTATTCTCCCAAAAGTCAGCATTGCTCTTACAATGTTTGTATTTCAGAGCTTCACAGTCAGACACTTCTCAGTGATGAGTCTGATCTAACAGCTCGTTTTCTTTTATAAGCTTCTGTTAGATCATAAAACCACTCATTTTACTTTGCAGAGCTCAGATAATAATTACCTGCTCCTGCTGTTCTTTTAGATTAGCTTGTGTTTTAACACAAAATCAGTTTTGCATCCTGTTCCTTAGATGCTTGAAAAGATGTTTCATTATAATTAACAATAACCTCCCCAAGTTTAAACTGATWTAACCTCAAGTGTTCAGGTCAGACTGAATAAAAAAACACCAAAATGTCTAAAAATAACTTAAGTAGGTCCTCTGGATGAGTCCTGCTTTGTTGAAAAAAAAAAAAAGGATTTCACCTCGTCTCTAAGAGACCTCTTCAGTCTGAGGAGTTACAGGTTGAGGCTGAAGAAGTCGTCCAGAGAGGACCTACTCAACTTTTTTCTACCTGGATAATTGAGACACGTCAGTACACCAAAATGTAGTTTTTTTAAAAAAAAATTGTTAAAATTGCAGGTTTATTTTAGGCCAGTTTTATCTTTATTTTATTTTATTATTTTATTTTAAAAAACTGATTATAGTCCAGTAAACAACAGTGTAATGGCTGTTTTAGGTTCAGTTTGATTTCACGTCGTGATATTTGCTGAAGGACTGAGATATAAATATCCAGTGTTTTATATTATAGAACAGAACAAACTGTTTTTACTTTTCACAGTGATATTACCTGAGAACCATAAYGTGCTTCAGCTGGATATTTCCAAAACCTCAGAAGGATTTAATCTGATGGGTTTAGTTTTTTTTTAGAACAAAGAAARAGGAACTTTCACAAATGACACAAACACTCTAAAAACGTCTCTACTTTTTAAAAACATACTCTGCATCCTTACAAATGATTATTGTTGAATATGTTTGTCATTTGCAGCTTTCAGCATCAGAAACATTTTTTAACTTGGAAAAGCTTAAAATCCAGATGACTGTAAAACTGAGACAAAAACACACAACTAGAACATTGGATGACATCATTTCTAGACTTACATGAATTGTTTTGCACAAACTTGATTTGTGCAACCATTAGACACTTGGTCATAAAAGCTAATTAAAATATAAATACACATGTACGTATGACATACAATGCATCCGAAGGTACTTACGGGTGCCATCAAAATGGTTTGCGATGCTGTCCARGAAGGTGTTTTGTGGAGCAAGAAGGCCCTTCATCACAGGCATGTTGTAGGAGATTTTCAGGAGGAAAGTCTCAGCTTCCGGTCACCATTCCAGAGCAGAAAGAGCCAAGCACTGCTCCTTGGTCTGGTTAGGACGTATTCCGCAAAGTTGAAGTATTATTTAAACTATGCTGTGCAGATCAAACCACAGCCTTTCAGAGAATAGATCCGTCAGAAGCTACCCCAGATGTTTGCAGGTCTCTAGCTTCTCTGTCCTGTTGGACTGTCAGGTTCAGTGGAGCATCCCTCTTTGTTAAGTCCTGCTTTAACACTCCTGCAGAACTGCTTTCAGTCTGCAACTCCACTGGTCCCCGCCATCCCCGAGTCCCCTCCCTCACTGAGCACGAAGCCTTTTCCCTGCGCTGTGAATTCACATCTCCTGTCTCCTCTCTCTCTCTCTCTCTCTCTCTCATCCTCCTACTTTTCACTCCCCAGAGAAGTTATCAGAAATGACTTTCGTTCTCTCGCAGCCCGTTCCTGCGTTCTCACCCTCCACGCCTGCAGTGAGAGGTTAGGTACAGCAGGATGCTGAGCTGTAAATCATCACTTTTCCAGTGTGGAACTTGGTTTAGCAGAGCTGTGAGACACTAACTGAGCTCCAGCCTCTGCTTGTTGCTGTGGAGATTCTGCAACACATGAGGAGATGCTGAGTCCTTTTCTATGTCTCTTTTTTTTTCTTTTTTCATTTGCTCTCATGTTGGCTCACGGAGACTAAACATGAAATGGAAAACTGGAAAATGCCACACATTAGGCCCAACATTTCACTTTCGCTGTCTGTCATTTTAGAATTCCTTTACATCTGAATTCATTTATTTAGTTGAAGAATAACCTGTAGCTCAGAACACCAGAACACCAGAACACTGACTTAAAGACTTTGTAGGACCTGTAACTGATTGATGTGTAATGATATGTACAAGGAATCTGATGTGTTTTGTTGCGTTGTTACTATGTTAAAACTAAATGAAAGTGAATGCACTCAGTCTSCCTCTATAAGCTTTCACTGGAGCTTTTTGGAGACCTTTGTGTGAACATGGTTTTTATCTGTGTGAATAACTTACTCCTAACAACATAAACAAATGTACTTTAAGATATACTTTTTTCTTGTACAGTTTCTTTACAACTAAATGCTTCATTTATTTTAACAGAAATTTGTTCAGGAAAAAGAATAGCGATGCATATTCAAAGATAAGGGTCTTTTATGACTTTAAGTTAGCTTAAGTCGACTCAGTTTTCCTTATTTTCAAAACCAACTAGGCTTCGATTCAGAATGGAGGATTAAAAGCAGGTTAATCAAAACTGGATTTTTTAAATCGGCGGCCAGAGAAAGATGAATATGAAATGAAATGAATTCTTGAGAAAAACTTTAAACTTGTTACTAACTAAAGACAAGTTCTCAGATCGATTTTTTTTATTTACATCACAAGTTTTTTTATACAAACTTTCACAGGCTTAAAATGATATTTTAAATGATAAAAATATGTGCATTTTTCACAGTTATACCTCACAAATCTGTTTTTTTTTTCTTTTCTAGAACTATTCAACATATTTGGTTGTGAACAGGCTGGGTGTCGTTGACCGGTCCCTTCACGGCTCCCCAGCCGTCTCTGCGGTCCTTCTCCCCATGGTCAGGATCCCGGCTGCCTGGTTCCTGGAGCCGTGGAGCAGCTGGTGCAGCCGGCTCTGCAGGCGAAACTCCTCCTCGTTCCGCTTCCCCAGAGTGAGGATCCCGGCGGCCGCGTCCTCCACAGCGGTGCCCCCCGTGCTCCTGCTGCCGGAGCGGCACAGCAAGGCGTGGAGGCGACAGGAGCGAGGCGGCTGTCTGCAGCACTCAGACACAGTCTGTGCATCACAGTCCAGCTGAGACAGCAGCAGCAGCAACACAAACACCAGGACTTTCTGTGCAGGGAAGGGAATGAGCTTTAGAACAGGATGTTCAAACTTTAGAACCTAATTCAAGCAACTTTGATCTGTATTCTTTAAAATGCAGCTACCARTGTACAGGTTAAACATGAGAACAAAATCTCCATATAAAACAACTATTAGTTTGTATTATTGTAACTAGAAAGATTTTATTATATCGAACTGCTTATTCATGTTGAACAGGAATAAAAAGGCTGAGTCTCCAAGTTTACAGTTTATCCAGGTTACAGAGGTGGGGACTCAAATCTTTAATGTGACCCATCATATCGAATTTGGTCAAAATGACCTAATAACATTGTCAGAGTGGACATTAAATTACCCCTTAAAAAGAAATAAACCAGACAGAGACGTAAGCATTCAGTTTTAAGACAGCTTTCTCTTTGCAAAGAGTGAGAAGTTTCTGAGAACGCTTAAAAACAGGTCTCACCAGAAAGTTCTGACACTGGCTGGCTGGGAAAATTTGTACAATTTATTACAAGCAGAGCACAGAGAGAAACATCTTGACCAATCACAGGGTTGCTTCTTATC